AGGGTTCAGAATTAGATTTTTTTTCTTTTGACTCCACCTCTGCCCAGCCCCASCATCATAACCTGCCTGATTTTGGGCAGGAGACCGGAAAGATTATTCTTGAAAGAAAAAGAGGGGAAGAAGGGAGGGGAAGAAAATCAGAAAAGTTTGCTAAGCAAAAATAGATTTTGTGATGTGTGTTTGTTCCAAGATTCTCCATCTAAAACGCACCTTGGGTCAGTCTAAACATGAATGTACTAATGGAACTGTTAGCAGCCTGAGCAAAAATGTGTCTGTGGGCGAATGCTCAGTTGTCCCTTCCACWCCACCTCCTTTCTGCCCTTCTGGGTCACGTCCTCCCTTTTAAGCAGCACTTTACACCCATCAGCATCACTTCTTGAACTTTGCATTGTCTGGAAGGTTTTCCCTGCCCACAGTGTCATGTGGACCTGGAGCAGTCCYGAGCCCTGAGCTTTCCTGAGGTGGAAAAGGTGCTGCTGAGGAACCCAGAGCCACCCRGGCTGCAGGGGAGTCGCAGGTGTCACATTGGGTGGTGCCACTGCCAGCCCAAACCAGCCCAGGGTCCCAGAGCCCCAAGAGCTGAAACTCATCGCCAAGGCACAAGGCAATTTGTCCAGATGAAGGTGAGGAGCAGGTCTGCTTTTATAGGAACTGGACCCTTCATTTGTAAGGTATTGCTTGTGATACACTTAGAGTGTAATAATTTCCTGGTGATTTCTTGCCTGGTTTTATTCAAGCAAATCGCTGTAATTGTAGGGATGTGCATTGATACAGGAAAACCTTATTCAGCTGGAAACATCATGGTGATTGAAAGTAAATCATCTTAGGTAAAACAGAAACAGTATGGGTTTTATTTTCTCTGGTAGGCAGTTGGAAGTTCGGAAGTATGTCTTTCACAGTGGCAGACAGTTGGAAGCCACACAAGGTTCCCCGAATTTTGCAGGAAATATTTCAGCGGCACTGGCTTGAGGTTTTGGAGACAAGACAGGGCAGTGTCAGTGCATGTGAAGCTGTGAAAGGGATGGAGGATGCTGAGCACTGGAASCAAGAAGTTATGCAGGGATGTCCACAGATCTCAACTGCTGAACATGCCATTCCCTCTTTCTGGCACAGGAAGGACAAGTTTAGTAAGATTAAATGTCTTCAGGTCAGCCATGTTTAAGGAAATTCTTAGTACATACTTATAGGCGCCATCTCAGAAATACAAACACTTCTCCTTGAGAGCTCTTGGAGGGCAGGTGAGGCACCAGAAGACAGGGAAAAAATGTAAACATGGTGCCTATCTCTAAATATAGAGAAAAGAGGAGTAAGAATTATAGACCAGTCAACTTCTAGAAGCTTTCAAGAGAATTGAGCTATCAATCATATAATTTGCAACCACCTAGGAGATAAAAAGGGAGATGAGTGACATGCAGCATGGATTATACAAAAATGAGGCATGTTAAACTAGTCTCATTTGATTTCTCAGCAGGAGTAGGAGAGGAATAGTTGGTGCCATATCTGGATTTTGGGAAAGGTTTGTCAGAGTCCCACTGGATTTTTATAAAGTGACYGGGTAAAATAGTCCAGATAAAACTRCTACAGGTCCTATACAAAAATGGATGAGTAGCACAAGTCATTCCCAGAGTATACAGTTATCAGTGGCTTATGGTCAGAGCAGAGGACTCTTTCCGCCAGGACTCCACTGGGGTCTGTGTCAAGTTCCTTCTAAATGTCCATCAGTAAAAAATGAACGGAAATACATCGTTACCTGTGGCAGTGATATGGAGTTCGGGGAGGTGCTTCAGCACATCAGAGGATAAATTTTACAGCTTCAGATGGTCTTGGCAGACTGGGGAGGTGAGGACTGGSTCTAGTCCGGGCCTCAAAGAGGAAGAGGAGGACCTGCTTGGAGAAGGTGTAGGGAAGTGTCAGCGTGTTCACTAAACCTGGCTCAGGTTGGAAGGGCTGGAAGGAAAGCACCAGAATGGCTTGGCTGGAACTGAAGAATGGGAATGATGATGACTGGAGCCCCTGCTCCGGGAAGTTTTCAGAATGATAGACGAGTATTTCCCCCTGGAGTGACCTGAGCAACTGGCTCCTGGTGGGATCAGCCCCGGCTGAGATCCAGCCCTGCTGCACTGGAGCTGTCGTGGGCTTTGTTCAGAGCCGCTGTTCCACAACCGCTGGGGCCGTGCGTGTCAGCAGGGACAGCAGCAAAATCATCCTGGGCTTTGCCTTCCTAATGCAGTCCTTGTGTAGTGAAAGGCTGAAGGCACGTAAGTGCTTTGTTGAACAGAAGCCAAAGCAAGCTGCTACGCAGAATGCACCCCCTGTTTCCAAGTATTTCATTTATTTTGTAATTAAGCAGTAATTGCTGAGGCACTGGGCACTTCTTCAGGATTAATGACTTGCTGGGGGATGGCAGAAGATCTGATCTGCGGTGGAACCATTTTCTCCAGCAAATACCTGCCTGTTACTGCCATTCTGAAATAAGTGCAACARCACAACATGCTAACATATGGGTCTTGCTGTTAGCAGCTGAGGGATGGGGAGCAGGCGTTAATGGGTACCTTAGGCAATCAGGTTGCTTCAGTTGTCTCTCACCATTCCATTCAGAGCACAGTGTTTTATTAGTCACTTGGTGAATGAAATGGCTTTTTAATTGCTCAGAATCACTTTTTAAAATTGCAACACTCTCTCCCCCCTCCACAGCCCCTAGGGATCCTCTTAAATCCCATTTTTTCCTTTGCCCTGGAGAGAACCAGTTCTAGTGTGGCAAAGAGGAACTGCCTGCAGCAGTTTCCTTTGTAATTTGGAYACTGGGAAAAATGTAAGCCATTTAGGAAACAGGATTCATAATTTTGGTGCTGAAAATGCTCTGCTCCCATAATTAGCAAGTTGCTTAAGGAACAGCTCACCCTGCCTAAACTGTTAAAGACTTCACAGTCTTGACATGCTGCTCCCTTCTGTTACATCTGTATATTTTTAATGGCCACAGCCCACTACAGCACTGAACCCTCACTGCTTTTCGTGTCCTGTGGCACCAGGAGCTGGCTCAAGCCATGTCCCATAGCAATGTATSTCCCAGGAGTCGTGTTGCAGCTTTWAATCTCCTCTAGGCACTAMAGCACRGTAACAGGCAGAAAGAAAGRTGTATCCAGARCAGKGGRGCTCTGCTGCCCCACCTCCKTCCCCACCACTCRAATGCTGCTGTTCCAAACCTCACCACAAGCACTGGATTCTTGCAAAATAAAAGCTGCAGAGTACAAGATCTGCTGTTGCCCATAACTCAATCAAAATCAGGACTAGCTGTAGGAATTTTTTGGTAAATTGGCAAGTCTGGATTTACTAAGTCAGAAAGGTTTTCATCCACCACTGTTCTCCTCAGCTTTGGTGAGGGGAGCCAGCAGCCCCTTGTGCTGTTTCCAGCACACCAGCATCATTTGCCTTTGGTGGAGGGTACCTGCTCTGCCCAGTTCCTCAGATMAGTAGCTTAAAAATTTCCTGGTCACCAGATGATTTGAATTATTGTCCTTCTGAGGCTGTCTTTGCTTTTAGTCATGTTTTTCCAGGACTCGGGGGTTGTTGAGCAGCTCCTCCCAGGAGCTCAGTGTGCAGTGTTGAGTAAGCAAAGGTTGTGGTAGGGACAGCAGAGTGTCAGTCACTTGTGTTAGRAAATCTTTGTGAGAGCTTTGCATCAGGGGAAGGGGATCTCTGTCTTGGTCAGCATTTCTACCAGCCTTGTTCTTTGTGTAGTCATCTGTTAATAGCMCTGGGCTGGCATCCAGCCCCGTTCCCCATCCCAGCTCTGTATCTGTTGCAAGCTGATGGTGTGAGCTGGTGCTCTCTCTGTCCCAGGGGGTGCCAGCGCTTGTCAGGACCTTTGATGGTGTGTATCTGATTTTAAAAATAAAGGAATCAAAAAACCTTATTACTGAAAGGGTGCTATGTTTTATCAGGGACCAGATCGTTTACGGAAGGACTCTCTGTTGTCCAGTGAACATCTGAAGATGAGCAAACAAGGATTTCATTTTAGCTAAGCAGATCATCCTCTATTCCGASATTTAAGACAGGATCATAACTTATGTGTTCACTGGGAAGAAYTATTGTCAAAAACAATTACCTCTGTAAATCCTAGCTGTTTTGTAGACACGTCCAGGCTTAGTTCTGGAGTTACTTAGGCATGAATAAATTACAGGGGTCAGTCTTGTGACCTRAGCAAAGGTTTGCAATAACTTGCTCCATCAAATAGTTCCTTTGCAGAGTTTAATAGAGATCYACGCACAGAGCATCCAGCATGCAGAGCTGGTAGGACTGTGGGTCTCATTCCCCTATTGCCTTGGATAGGGATAACAACGTGTCTTGAGGCAAAAAAAAAATCTCAGCATTTTTTCCTAAAGGAGAGAGAAGCAACAGGGAGGAAAGGTGGAGGGTTGTCCACAGACAAATACTTCAACTATTACATAACTGAGACACTTTGCCCCTCCATGYCTGAGTTCCCATGTGTACAGGGGTATTTTGACTCTGGTTCCTTTTGTAAGGTACCCCAGGAGTTGCTATTACTAAAAGGACTTGACAAAAGTGAAGGGGTTTCTATCACTTGTTTCAGTGGTTAAGGTCCAGTCTGGTGGTCATTTGTACACACTGAACATATTTCCACAGACCTTGACTGGGAAGGTAACGTAGGACCCGAAAATCKCCTTCCCCTGTGACTGCTGAGSRTGAGAACASGAGGTGCTCCAGGCTCCAGTGTTCRCAGTTCATTTGGGAGGGAGGTACCATATGCACCAACTGTGCACAAAACCTTCTTGATAGAGAGCAAAAGGGATGCTAATTCCAGCACTGGGCTCAGACACACTACTGGTGAACAACCAGAAARGTTTAAAAAGAAATGCTGACTAAATTAAGCAAATCAAGCCAGCAGATGTGCTCTTCASAAGAGCACAGCTGTCTTTTAAATGTCTCTCCTATTGAAATTCCATTCTCAAGAGTTTTTTTATCCTTTGCATTTTCTTCAGGATCATCCATGAGGATGGCTTCTCTGGAGAAGACGTGAAGCAGTACAAGCCAGTGGTGTACAGCAACACTATACAGTCACTGGCAGCTATTGTCCGTGCCATGGATACCTTGGGCATTGAGTACGGTGATAAGGAACGACGGGTAAGTGAAAATCACACTGCTTGGGTACAGACAACAGAGCACAGCGACTCCAGAGCATGAACAGGAGGCATTTGCACAATCTCAATGCTTTGGAGGGATAAGAGGGAGGGGAGAAAATTTACATCACTGTTGTGTGCCTATTGCACTGTTTGTACGCCTATGGCAGTTTGTGCAACAGAGGCACAGTTGCATGTGAAGTGCCATTTGTACACCTACACTAGGAAATGTAGGCCTAGGGACCACGGTGTCACAATCTGTCATGCCCTGGCACTAGTCAGGCCAGGGCAGAAAAATAATTTGTATCTAGGAACAGCCTAGACAGAGCTACTGGTAGATTTGAGGAAGCAGTGAGAACATGCATCCTGTCTCCTGTGCATGTGCTGGACACACAGGCTGCATAAATGATGGATCAGGGAGAAATCTTGCTGCCATTCGAAGCCCTTCCACCAGCCTGCTAATGTAGGAAAGCTTTTAGGATTAACTTGATGGGGGCTTGTCTGTCTTCTACTCACACATCTCCCATTTACGTGTGGCCAAACAGCAATTTCACTTGCAAACARGGGGATGTGTTACTTCAGTGAGGTTGGTATGGACAGGCTCTTAGGCAGCAGCATTGGCATGTGTCTTATCAGAGCAGCTCTGTGATGCCTGGCAGCCTTCTCGTGCCACACACCTAGGCCAGCCTGTCCTTTTACAGTTGCTGCTCTGTGATTACTTTCATCAACTCCCTATTTTTAAACAGTGGCTCCTCTGTGAGATGCCCCTGYCAGCCTCTACCTTGCCTTTCTTGCATTTCTGGCTCAGACCAAGCCCACACAGAGGAACTCAGACTCCTAGAGAAGAGTCAAAACCACCCTTTTTGCATGCTGCAATCCCAGAGAAAGTAAAACTAYTTGATTTCACTGGAAATAAAATATTTCAGATTAAAGACCTGGTAAAGGCAAAGTCCTRTATGCCACTGAGTTTGTCATGACTATTTTTGGTAGCTATCAAATGACAGATGTACAACATACTCCAAACTCCTTATCTGAGGGTTGATAATAAAAGCATTCACTAGAAGGGATGCCAAAATCCTGCTGTGGGGTTGCTGTATGAAGAAGTACCTTCTTTCTCCCAGTCGCAAAGAGGCACTTTGATTTCTTTGCATCTGGGGATTTTCCCATAGGAACTCTAAATCCTGGAGACATTTCCATCCCAAACTGTGGAGATGATACCATAATGGTGTTCTTGTGAGCTTGCCGAGAACTAATGCTGATGGCTTTCGAACTGAATACATTAATCTGTTGATTACTTGGTGACTCAGCTCTCAGCAAGGCAACGTATCTCACTCAGCTAAAAACCTATGCCTAGGAAAACAGAAACAAATCATTCTCCATGTCTGATAAACAGTCTGTGGCAGACAGATTTAAAATGTAAAATTTCTTTTTTTTTTTTTTAAACGCCTGAAGTCCTAATTTGAGGAGGGAAAACTCGTCACTGCTTTAGTGCCAGGCCTGGCACAGTACAGGGTGTGGAGGAGGAGAGCTATTATCAGGACTGCCAGGAACGAGAGGTGGAGTACTGGGCTGTACAAAATGTTGTGTCCRTTCATATTCCTATGGAAAAGATGCCAAATGTTCCTAGGGTTGTACGATAACTCAGGCTGGAGAGGAGCTGAGGAGGTGTCGAGSCCAACCCCTGCTCAGGTAAAGTCTGAGGTCAAACCAGGTTTTTCAGGGCTCTACCCAGTGGGGTCTGAAATCATTCAAGGATGGAGACTGCACACCCTCTTTGGGCAGCCTGCTCCACTGCTCTTACAGTCCTCGTGATGAAAAGGTTTCTCCTTATGTCTGGTGTGAAGCACTGTTGTTTCAATTTATGCTTTATGGCAGTAGGGATCTTGTGTTATGCTTTGCAAAGTAAAATGCAAGATAGATTAAGTTCTCCCCAGCCTTGTTTCTCCTAAGAGATGCAGTTCTGGAGGAATTACTCCTGTCTTACAATGCTGTCATGCTGACTGTGTCACACAAGCCTGCCACAAACCCCTATAAACCAAACCAATGTCTGGGAGGACAATTCAGGTTTTCTGTCCCCTTTGTAGATGGCACAAATATTTCTTCATCCAGCAGCAAAAKGGAAAGGAAACCCAGGCTCTCAGGCTGTGATCTTCCACTCCTTTCTCTTAGGCATGGAAAGTTACTGGTATTAGTATGAAATAGTATTTATTTTAATCTTACAAAGAAGCACATGGCTTCTGCTACCCTGCTTTTGTTATTAATGCACAGCTGCTATAAAGAGAGGCCATTAAACAGGCGATTTGTTGAGTATTATGCTRCGTGGTTCATCCCTTTTCAGGCAAAGCTTTTCTATTTTAAAAGTCATTCTTCMGCCAAGGGTTTCCAATGCAAATCTTTTAGTGGGGGATTTTCCCCTACTCATCACTTAAGCCCCCAAAAGAAGGGAGCTCAGGAAGGGGAGCCTGGGCTGTGGCTGCTTGAGCCTGATTCAGCAGCAGGGAAGGAGGGGACATGGGCCTGGGACAGGTTTTCCCCAGGGACCATTTGGCTTTTACTTCTTCCCACATCCCACTTTCTAAGAGATKAATCTGTACCTGTATCCCTTCCAAATGGCATCCTGACCATGTTCAAAACGAAAAAAACCTCCCCTACTTAATAGATGCTTGTTGTTATTGAGAGAAAATAGCCAAATCCTCTCATTGTTCTCATTTTTCTCCTGCCCATAATTGTGCCTCCGGTATTTAGTCTCATAGAAGTGAAAAGACTGGGGGAAGACTAAACCGCCTTGCTTTTGGCGGTCAAAGTGGGATCAGTGTAGGAAATAGGACCTAAAAAGACAAAATAAATCACAAAAAGCAGATGCATCAGGCCTTGCTGACCCTCTCTGCTGATAAGGACTTGTCCCCAGGTTGAGAATAAAACAGTCTGTGTCTAGGATTTCACTTTTATGCCTTGTCCAGGGCCGCGGATTTTCACACAGCTGTGCCTGCTCACAGGTTCATGGTCTGTGGGCAGCACCCAGGCCCTTGTTCCCTGTCCTTCAGCACAGCAGGCAGGAGCACATCCTGCCAGCTCAGGGCACGGTGTCACTGCACGCAGCACGGAAGGTCAGGCTGAAACTGCAGAAACGCTGTGCAAGTGCAAAGTCACAAATCCTTTACGTGTTACAAGAGGGCGGGCGGAAAAGGAGCAGTCGGTGAGGAGACAGGAGGCAGCTGCAGGAGCARTGGCATCCGTGGGTGTTGCTCATCTCCAGGGCCACCACTGCCCTGGGTCTGGATCCCTGACAAGCCAAGGGGTTACAYGCAGGAAGAGAGGCAGAGGCTTAGTCTCGCCTGCCTACTCAGAACTCTCCAGCTGGTCTGTAGGGCACTACTCAGYCCTTACCTTGATAATCAGATTAACAGGCAGGAAAGAGTCGGGCTGTAACATGCAGCCTGTGGATTAAATGGTCCTCCAAAGTGCAAATGTATTAATAAAACAAGCTCCTCACTGATTCCATTTCAGTGTACTCAGGCAGAGCAAATGGGAAATGGAGGTTTGAAACMGGGAATCTAGAAGTTAGTCCAAGTGTTTGGAAAGGATCAAGCAGGAAGGGCAGGATAAGGATGGATTTTCATATCTCTGTTTGAAGAACTGGTTCCAAAGTCTGGCTTCAGAAACCTCAGCCAGAAGAAGCATGACGTCTCTTCCTCTATGGGTCAATGCTGATCCCAGAAGCTGCTTGGAAATGCAGACTTGTAATCCCACTCGGGTGGAATGCCAGAGCTGCAGCCAGGCTGGGAGGCCTGGGGGGTGTCTTCAGGTTGGCCTGGTCCCAGACTGCGGTGGGCATCCTGCCCCGTACAGGCTGGTGTGAAAGCAGCTGTGGAGCATGCTCATTTTTTCATAAACCAGACAGAAACAGGCTGAAATTGTTCAGAAATTACTCAACTGAGAATCCAAATATCAGTTGCATGGCCCAGATCCAAGTGTCTGAGGCGACAGGTCACAGGTTTAGTGCCTGAGGTCCGGAGGTTGCAGGCAGTGACCTTCACACTGAACTTTTTCCCAGTGTGAGTCTGGACATGTCTCTGCTTCAGCTATGAAAGGGRAAACTAAAAAGCTGCTAAAATGTTAAAATATTTCCATAGGCACTTTTTTTCTTTTGGACTTTGTAGCAAAATATGTCTGTGGTGACCTTCTGCTGTGTACAATGTGCAACTCCTGTACTGTGAGCCAAACAAAGATGTGTTGGGACATTTTAAAATACTGACTAGCAGCTTTAAAGAAAACTTTCTGTAGTGTAAWTGAACAGCCCACCCGGGGTGGCTGGCAAAGAGGTCTGCGTCAAATCTGCTTCTAAACAGAGAGATGCCTGTAGAAACCTGGTTCCTGAARCCCCTTCACCTCTGCGTGTGCCAAAAGGGGATTTAGGAGCTGCCCTCCTTCCTCTCATTCTTGCTTGGCAGGAGCAAAGTCACAGCCACTGTCACCTGCTGCCTTCCAGGCACTGGAGAGGAGCAGTGTGGGGGCGGATCTCTCTTTTGTAAGATCTGCTCCTGTGTAACTGGCTTTCTGTACTTGTCAGCTCAAGATATTGTGCTACTTCATTTGAGTCGGGTATCTGTTTAGAGCAGCTGGCTCCTACTGTGTGTCCCTAACCCAAGCTCTCTCAGAAATGCAGAAAGGCTGCTAATAACTTCGGGGAGGGCAGCTGAGGTCAATCAGGCATTGCTGTGCTGTTAGGAAGCCTCTGTTAGCTACCTGAGTGACCTGGGGGATGGACACASAATTCCTGGGCTTGTGCTGCTTGACTGAGGATGCAGCCAGTGTTGCATATCTGCTGTTGTGAGTGATGGGAATTCAGGGCTGCTTTGTAGAAGAGCAGGATGAAGTGGAAGAAAAGGGAAATTTGAAATGAAGGGGAGGCACTAGACATGCCATTTTTACCTGGTGTCAGCATTTGTCTGGATATCCAGCTGCCGACAATGTCAACTTGCAATAGCCACAGCTCACATATAA